GAAGATAAATAAGACAAAGGAATGACGATGACGGTCACCCCGTTTAGACTGTGGAATGGTTTTCTGTTGCCCTGAGTCCATTTCATCTTTTTGGAAGGCAAAATGGTGGAGTGTTGCCAGCATTGATGGCTGCCCACAGCTCCTGGGACCCTGGGCCTGCCAGCTCTGGGCTCAGGAAGCACCTTTTTCTTAGGTTTCCCTCTTGTAGCTGAGAATTTATAATCAGCTAGGGTGCTGACTAAAGCCGGGTGCAGGATAGCTGTGATACACGAGGCAAGGGTATGGTGCAGAACTCGGAAGTGCTGCCACCACTGCCCGTATTGCCTTCTGGGGTGATGGGATCACCCAGACACCAGGCACACAGTGGCTGCCATGTGGCCCGCAGGCACCCACAGCTCTCGGTTGCACAGGGAGGTCCCAGGAAGGAGAGCAGCCCGATGCTGCCACCTTCCAACTCAGCCTGGTGCTGTAGGCTGAGACTTGGGAGCTCGGAATCTGGGTTAGGTCCACAGGGCAAGCCTCCACTCCACAGGGCAAGCCTCCATTCCACAGGGCAAGCCTCCACTCCACAGAGCAAGCCTCCACTCCACAGGGCAAGCCTCCACTCCACAGGGCAAGCCTCCATTGACCTCTTGGTTGTTTCCATCTGGATTAGCTTGAGTATGTGTGTGAAAACAGCAGTTGGGGCATAATGGTGTTTCCTTTTTAAGCTCTTCTGAATACCCTGTTGAGCTGTTTAGAGAAGCAAGCTGTGTGTTGCCTGTTCTCAGTGCCCTGACCTTCAGCCCCTCTCTCTATGACATGTGAATCACTTCCATTTTTATTAAAAACTTATTTTTACAATTTCGCAGTCCTGGACAGAATGAAGGCGTTAGAAAGGTTCGGGGTTCTCAGTGAACAGCAAACACTGCGCGTGCAGGTCCAGGCATCTCCTTACCTCTGTCAATGTTTTGGAGAACTGCAGGGGACTGTGCACCCACATGTGTGTAGTTTGATGTAGGACACATGCATTTACAACCCATCCCATGTATTTCTGCAATCAGGTAAACACGCACATTGTGCAGTACCTCCCTTTGTCTGATTTGATGGCTTTCAAAGTTGTCAGTCAGTGTTCCAAACAATGTTGGCTTCTGGGAAGGTGTCTGCCATAATCTCCTGTCTCTGGGGTGGCAGTGTGTTATCCCTGCCCTCGTAAGGGTTGAGCCAGTTGCAGTGGCCTGGTTCTAGAAAGAGAGACCGCTGTGAGACCAGCTACTTTTCAAAGTCACAGGCTGCTGGTAGCCAGTTTCTTTTTCCCCCAACTTGGCACTCAGTTTTGAGGAAAAAGCTTGAAATGAAAAGACAAGCACTCTAGGCTGTGCCAGTTGCAGCTTCCCCTTGAGCTCCACTGCCCAGTATGCTCCAGGGATCGTCCTGTCTGTCCCCCTTGGAGATGGGCCACAGCCATGCACCCAGCTTGTTTCATGGAAGCAAGGAATTGAACTTGAGCCCTCATTCTTGCTGTAGCACTTCTTCCACTGCCCCAGTGTATACACACATTCACACACATACACACAACACACACACATACACACTCACAATACACACACATATGCACACTCAGACATATACACTCACATATACACATACTCATGCACACATACACACACACTCACATACACACGTATACACACTCACATATACACACATATGCACACATTCACACATACACATGTTCACACACACTCAGACATACACACTCACATACACACATGTACACATTCATACACAAATCATACACATATATACATGCGCACACACATACACATACTCATACAAATCACACACTCATACATACACATATTCACACATACACTTTCACACACATACACATACTCACACTCACACAACACACGTACATTCACACACATACATACACTCACGTGCAAGTCACACATGCACACACACTCACAAACAAATCATACATATACACATATACTCTCATACAAGTACACACACATACACTTTCATACACATACATAGATACATTCACACACACTCTCATATACACTCTCATATACATGCACACTCACACACACTCGCACACACTTTAACTTTGGCATACATTTTGGCGCATATATATATGTTTATATCACTCACCAGATCTCTGAATAAAGATACAGACGTATGTCCACCCATAAAACAGTAGGACCGCACCAGAGCAGGACAGTTACCTCTTAATAACTCACGATTCTTATTTGGCAGTTTCATGCATGTACATACATGACCATGTACATGCACGGTCATACACTTTGACCATTTTTGCCCTCCATTGCGTGCCTCACCCCTCCCATGCCCACTGAATTCTTCTTACAAGGTCCGTCTTTGAGAAAGTTCACCGCTTGGTCAGCAAGTGAGTTATCACTATTCGGACTGCCCCTGCTTTTAACCAGACTCCTTTCCATCTATCTTCATGACTTTTTGTCAACTTTTAGACTGGATTGGAACACACAGACACCTGCCTGCAGCCATCACCTCCTTCCCAGGAGAGTTAGGGCCACAACCCAGAATTAAAAAGAGGATCCCTAAGAGGGGCCCCCCATATGGCTGTCCTGTTTCCTTTAGACCTATGGAACTCTAGCTTTTGCCCATTCACAACCTTGATTTCCTCATTGTGTAAGTAGGAAGCCTGGTTGCCACTGGACCATTCTAGAAGAAAACACATTATGAGAGGAACTCTGGTTTAGGAGATGCAGTCCCAGGAGATTCTTCTATGAGCCTTGCAGACCCGTGTCTTATGCGTGTGGAGGTTTCCTCTGCTCTGTAAGGCACAGCCCAGTTGCCTGCCACAGATGCTGGCCAGGAATCATCAGGGTAGGACCTCCAGGGCCAAGATCACATGGCTTTGCTGCCCCAGCAACTGTTCTTCCTGTCCACAGTCAGGTCCTAGCTGTGGCGCCAGACACAGAGTGTGTGTCATCGATGAGATTGGGAAAATGGAGCTGTTCAGTCAGCCCTTCATCCAAGCGGTCCGTGAGATGCTGTCCACGCCAGGCACTATCGTCGTCGGCACTATCCCAGTCCCCAAAGGGAAGCCGCTGGCCCTGGTGGAAGAGATCAGGAAAAGGCGTGATGTGAAGCTGTTCAGTGTGAGTAAGCCTCGGGGAGCTGGCTTCTCTGGGGTCACATCCTGGCCCCTGCCGTCTTCCTCTCCTGCCTTCTGCAGGCAGTGGAATGGTCAGGGGTGAGTTTGGGATGTTGACTGGGAAGGTCTGTCCAGGGAGGAGCCATAGAGGCAGGCACCTTAGGTCATGTACTCAGTGGCAGGGTTCCAGCCCCAATCTCGCTGGAAAGATGTGAGCATATGGTAAAATTAGTTGCTCAAGTCTGGGCCTTGAATTCAGAGTTGTGTCAATAATAAAATAAACCTTTTTTTTAAAATGGCCAAAAGATTTGAATAGACATTTCTCCAAAGAGTGTATAAAAGCTGCCAGTGAGCACAGAGAAGGCAGGTACCCCACTAGCATGGTCACCGTGAGGCGCTGCACCATGCCCACGAGGAGTCTTCCCATGCTACAGTTAGAAGACAGAGATGGGAAAGGCTGGCATAGCCATGGGCTTGGGCAAACCTCGGCCCCTGTACTCTGTTGATAGGAGGGAACCTGAGCTGCTCCTGGAAGCCACTCTGGTTTCTTCAGGGGCTGTTTGTAAGTCTGTCTGTCTGTCTGTCACTGTGTCAGTGAGTCCACCATCCTGGGCTTTCACAAGAAAACGTGAATCTGCTGATCCAGAGCTCTAAGGACTGACCCACTGCAGCCTTGTTCACAGTACTTTCAGGTGGGATGAGCCCAGCAGATGGACAGTGTGTGGTCCAGCCATCTAGTATGCTTAGTGCTTAATGACACAAAGGGATGAAACACACACACACACGTTTTGAAGCTGTCTCACGCTGAGTGAAAGAAGCCAGTCACACAAGGCCCCAAGCTCCATGATTCCATTCCTAGACTGTCCAGAAGGTGCAAGTGCGCTGAGGCAGGATAGAGTGGTAATTGCTGATGATGGACAGGAAGGAGGCGGCGTCTGCGGACAGGGCCCTGTCTGTGATGGAACGTTCATCTCTGACCCTTACCTTTGAGCTGGACATCAGCAAGGCAGTCCACACACATGTGCACACAGAAGTCAAAGCTGTGGCATCCTTCTTTAGGACTCACTGATGTACCCCGTAAACAGTGATTTACATTTCCCTCCCCGCCCAGGTGGGCCTCGATGCACGACAGCATAGCAGAAGGCATCACATGCTGAGACACGGGAAGTGTACCCACCCAGGTCGCCAGCCTTCTGCAGAGACTCCGATAAGGGCTGGCCATGTGACAATAGGGTTCCTGCCCAGCATGCACAGCGTCTTGGGTTCCACCCCCTAGCACCCTTACAAACAGATGTTGTGGCACATGCCTGTAATCCCAGCACTCAAGAGGTAGAGGCAGGAGGATGAGAAGTGCAAGTTCATCTTTAACTATATAGTGTTCAGGCCCAGCCTGGGATGCTTAAGACCCTGTTTCAAAAACAATAAAAACGCCACCACTGCCATGGCATGGGCCCTGCCCCGCAGGACACCATTTCAAAGTTCCTTCTTCGAGTGGCTTTAGCACATGGCCTTGCAGGAGATGAGGCTCCTGACAGATGAACGCTTGGTGTGTGATGATACCTACTGTGACAGGAACTTCCTCCTCACATCTGCTCACTCCTGGAAGCCTCCAGGCACACTGCCTCCTGCTTTCCTTGCTCCGTGGCTCTGCTTCCTCTCTGAGTACCACGCACACTGATCAGATTTTGCCCAGGCTTTCGGCCCTCTGGACTCCTGTCTCCAGCTCACCGAGCCCGCACTTCCTTCTAAGGACCCTTCCCCATCGTCCTTTACCGCTCACTGGTCTTCATGTCCCCCTCCATCGTAGTCTGTGACCTCATAACATCATAGTCCTTAAGGGCAGCACCACAAGGTCAGGAGGCCAAGACTGTGCTGCACCCTTTGTCTTCTCTGGCTCCCCTTCATCTCTCAGAGGAGCAGAGATCTGAGGTCAGTCTGCAGCTCTCAGACTCTCCAGGGTCATGGACAGACAGGTAGATGTTACTGTCCTGGGGGTAACCTGGAGCTGTGTGCTGCTCTCCTGGGCCCAGGTGAAGCTCCTCTCTGCTTTTTTCCAATCAGGCTACAGCGCTGAGTCCCATGCTCTCCCATCTCCATCCCGTGCCTCCAGTGCTTTGAGACATGCATTCCCCATGGGGCTTGGTGAACCTGAACAGCTGGCTTCTACCCCCCTTCTCTGCTCTCTAGGAAACGTTGGCTCGAAGGACTGGAGGAGAGGAAGTGGTCGCTAAGCTTGCTGTCTTGCCTTTTCCCACAGGTCACCAGGGAGAACAGAAATAGCCTCCTGCCAGATATTGTGGCCGTCGTCCAGAGCAGCAGGATCTAGGGCAGCAGCTGTTGGGGTCCAGCTACGCCTCTGCTCACGGTGGGCCCTGAACAGCGCCCAGTCCACTGTGTCCTACGTATGCTCCAGACTTCTGTTTCCCCTTACAGTTGTGCATGTGATTTCAGTAAATTCTAAAACGAGTCTGCCAAATGTTAGGTGGAATTCGCTCCCATCGGGGTTTATAATATGTTTGGGGCTGAGGAAAGACGGGAGTTCACGTCTTCCTTGACTTTGAGCGCTGTAGATATTAAACACCTCTCCAGGTGCAGCTCCAGACTGGTGCAGCTGAAAGCAGTAACAACTGATCTCTTCAGTTATTTCCAAAGGATAAAAAAAAAAAAAAATCAGTTCTCCTCGCCCTCTCTTGTTTATTCCTCTGTTTATTGACTAATAAAAATGGAAATAAATCTGGTGGTTCAGACACAGGAGTCCTTGTGTGAGAAGGACAGTTTTCACAATGCTGGTGTTAGCCACAGGCAACAAAAGCTCCTGTTTGTGCTAACCTAGCCTGGGCATGGTTTTCAACCACTCTGAGGCCAAGTCCCCTTCCAAGAAAGAAAGGGGCATGACCATCACCAGGGAAGGCTTTGTAAAGCGATTTGAACTTCAGTCCCCGCCAACTGCAGGGGCTCGTCTGTGAGGAGTGAGCTCACAGGTGGCTTAGCCCACACTGGGCTCTGCAGCACTAGGAAAGCCAACTATGGGCACCGCAGGATCCATGAAGGCCCAAGGCTACCCTCCCTGTGGCTGGTGGCTCCAGAACTCTTAAGATTATTTGGACATTTTTTTAAGCAACAGCATTAATGACAACAAGGGAGCTATGGACATATGTGGGCCTGTGCTAATGCGGGTGCCTGTGAGCTGGGCACTACAACCCAGTGGATAATGCAAGAAGCATTTCACATGAAGGCCAGAGCTTCTGGCTGGGACAGATTCTCATCTTGGTCTTCATTTCAGGGTAGTTTTCAAGGCTTGTCCTGTTCTTGTCAAGGCCCTGTGGGTTGCGACTTCTGACGGTCAAACAACCCTTTCACAGGGGTCACCTAAGACCATCAGAGAACACTGATAATACTATTCATCACTATTCACAACAGTAGCAAATTTACAGTTATGAAATAGCAATGAAAATAGTTCTCTGGGTGTCACCACAACATGAGGAACTATATTAAAAGGTCACAGTGTTACAAAGGTCAAGAACCACTGCCCTAGAGGGGAACCTCTGGAGGAATGCCCTCTAAATGAGGAATTGGGTCTCAGAAAGGCCTACCTGTCCCCTGAGAACAGTAGCTGCCTCTCCCGACCTCTATGCCCGGGTAGGCTGTCCAAGGAGGCCAAGTACAGAGCTGATGGCCTTGGGCAGGCTGGCTGTGGTGCCATTGATGGTACCAAGGCAGGTGGGACACAATATAGGCTCGGGCTGCTAGCTCAAGGCAGCTGGTCACCCAGAACCTGAATGTACCCAGCCAAAAGTCGCTACATAGCCTGACCCTGTCACAGAGCCCTACTCAGCCTTTTTAACCTAGAACAGAGGAGGCAGAGAGGAGAAATCGTGCTGGAAGCAGAGTGTTCCAGCTAGGCCCAGGGGGACCCCATGATGGCATCTTATTTGGCTCCTCTAGTGGTGTGCACCTGTAATCAAAGCACTAGAGAATCTGGTGCACAAGGATGGTGAGTTCCAGGTCAACCCAGGTTACACAGGGAAACACTCAACAACTTTTAAATATCACAGCCACAGCAGGTGGGAGACTCGAACCTGTCAGAATGGCTTTAGAACCTCTGCTGTGTGTACGTTCTCTGTGTCTCATCTAGGCAATTCGAATTGCATGCCTCACATCTCACCCTCACGCTGACATGTGATTGTACCTCTGTCATACCCTTCAGTGACTACCACTCTCGCAGATGAGTGGCGGGGTTAGGGAGCAGGTACATTTCTTTCTTCTCTCTGAATGAAGGTAAGCTTGTGTATGCAGGCCACATGGCTTTTAAGTAGATGATAGAGTAGCTTGGGTGCTCCTGACCAATAGTAAGGCTTCTAAGAAAGCTACAAATTCATCCATTCATTTGGTCCTCACCCCTCAGGTCATGGAAGGTCCTGGGAACAGTGAGGGGGACCTGTCCTCTTCCCATTGAGATTGGGGTTCATTGAGGATGGGGTTTTGACCCCCGCATGCCATTTGCACACAGGGACTTGGGAGAGAATGGCACCGAGTGGGAACTGGCTGCATAAACTGTGCCCCAAACGTCAGACATGACACTGGAATGGCCACCAGTTTTATAAAGACAAGTGTTTTGTCAGGACACTGCACAGCCTGTCCTGTAGTGCTGCAGCTGTATTTTCTTTAAAAGAGAAATGCTTCTGTTTGGTGTCAACTACATTTAGACAGATGGCAGCTGGAACACTTAAGCCACCATGGCAGGAAGTGTCATGCAGGCCACCAGAGCGAGTAAGGCTCTGTGACACAGGACTGCCTCCTGGGGAGGGTCCTAGGAGCAACATGCAGATTTTATAATTAAAACCAAAGGGGTACAAGTCCCGCCCCTCAGGGTTCAGGGAACCCTGCAGAAGAGGAGGCAGCGAGGATGTGAGAGGCATAGAGCATGGAAGGCACGAAGAAAACAAGGACCCCTAAACCACCACGATCACAGCTCCTGTGAACTCACGAGATAGTGAGCACAGAGCCAGCACAGGTTTGCACCAGGCCCTCTGTGTGTATAGCACAGCTTCCAGCTTAGTGTTTTCATGGGATCCCTGAGTGTGTGAACAAGTGTGTCTCTGATTCTTGTGTCTTCTCTTGGGTTCTTTTTCTTCTCTTTGTTTTGTCCAGTTCTGATGTGTTTTTTTTTATAATTTATATTATAATCTCTTAGAAATCTGCTTTCTAATGAGAGACAGAATGGCTCTAGGTGGGGTGGGGGGTGGGGAGAAACTGAGAGAAGGAGGAGAGAGGGGAAACCATAATCAAGACATTATGTGAGAAAAAAAATTTTCAGTAAAAGAAGAGGGTGAACCTGAGATTAACTTAGTGGGCAGAGGCTAGCCCTCCATGCAGGAAGCCTTCGGTTCCATCACAGGCACCATGTAAGTTAGGGACAGTGGCGCATACCTGCATGGACTCAGGAGGTGGAGGCCACAGAATCAGACTTTGAAGGCCATCCTTGGCTACCTGGCAAGTTTAAGGTTCACTTGGGCTACGTGGGACCCTACCTCCACCCTACCCCCCAAAGTTATATAATAACCAGAAAGCTAGGGTCATATCCTTAGGGTCATTGATTGCTGAACAGCTTCAAGGGGCCCGAGAGTGACTCCAGGGTCTTTCCTTGGTGGAGTTAGAGTGCATGTCCACTTTGCAGCATGTATGCATGGTGGCTGTGTCCCTCCACATGCAGGACGCTGCACAGGATGCAGTTCATGAGCCTGTCTAGGTGGCTGGGCCTGGTACTCACCTATTACAGTTACCCTTTCTCTACCAACTGGGCTCCAGCCCCTTAGAGAGCTCTCCTTTTATGGGTGCCAAACAGCAGCCAGCTGTGCTCCCAGATGGTTGCTAGTGGGCATATGGTTTTTCTCTTTCTGAACTCAAGTAGGGGGTGTGTAGCGGCATATTTTCCCCACAAGTTGGGAGGAGCTAAGGTGGGAGGAGTAAGGAGAGGAAGAGGAGGAGGAGGAGGAGGAGGAAGAGGAGGAGGAGGAGCTAGGGAGGCAGAGATGGAGAAGCGATGGAGAACCACACATGTATCAGGAACAGTCCTGGGTAACAACTTATATCTAGGTTAGTTATTTGGGTAGCACCTCTAATTGTGTGAGCATCTTGTTAATTGAGCATTATCAAACGTATAAAGCCTTTAAGCATTAGAGTCTCAATTTTCCCAGGTACCACGTGGATGGTGGGATGGTCTAGGCTCAGCCCAGCCTTGTGGATACAGTGCGGAAGATTGGCAGAGTCATCTCCCACGCTGGCGTCTCGCGGGTGGCAGGACCAGTGTCTCTGGCTGCCTGAGCTGGTGGCCTGAGCTGAGCGCCACCCATGGCCACAGGCCTTGTCTAGTCAGGAAGATGGCGGATGAATAAGAATAAGCAAGATTGGGAGCTGCCATTTTAAATATCTCCATCAACAGGGGTGCACTCCCCAGGTCAGAGCTAGCCACTTAGTCCCGAGTATTGGAAAGCTGCCCAAGGGGGAGTTTCAGGAAGAGGCCAGCCGAGTTTGATTTAGTCAACCTGAGAACTGCAGTGAGTCATGCCGCTTCTCAGATGCATAGCTGCATGGAACACAGACACATAGAGAGATGCCCTGTCTCTGCTCCAGGACAGCAAGAGGCTCTGCCCCAAAGACCGAGGTGGATAGCATCTAAGGTACGGTGTATGAGGTTGGTCTCAGGCTTCTACATGCACGTGAACACGCACACACACACACACACACACACACACACACTCACACACATACATGCATGCAGACATCTTCCTGGTGCTGAGGGACTGTTGTCTCCGCCCCTTTGCAGCTCCCATTTTCCAATCTTAGATGCTTTGGAGACGTAACTGTGCTTAAGCTGAGCATTTCCTTCATTAGGCCACTGACATTCCCAAAGGTTGGTGAAGCAGATGAGAGGTAGCATCCCCCCCCCCCCCGCACCCCTTATCCTATCAGCAGGAGGTTGTGCCTCTGCCCTGCTCTGCCCCGAGGAAGTATCTGAGATGGGATTTGCACCTTTCCCCCCAGAGTCTTTCTCAGAGAACAGGAGATGCATTTAGGGAGGACAGGAGACAGCCATAACTGTAAACATTTTAATCCCTAAAACAAAGGTCTGTGCAAATGTGCTCACGTACAGTAGAACTCAATCAACTTGGAAGACACAGCATGCATTCCTGGGAAGCACGCAGGGGCCCCGGGTGGCCCAGAACTTGAAAGAGGAGTGTATCACCTCTAACTCTCATCTGGGACCAATGCACCACCAGGCTGTTGCTAGTGACTTGCACGTACAGCTGTGCAAAGGTAATAAAGAACGAGGCTTGAAGGCCTCTGACCTACCGCTGCTGGCTTAGGAGTTGTGACTCCGGTGCTCTCAAACGGTGACAATAACGTGTAAAATGCCAATAACTTAGCATGCGGCTGTTCTAATTTAACCAGCGCAGGAAGGAACTAGTCACGGGCCCTATGCACTCTAGTTGTTTTGAGATATAACATGGCTTTTGTGAGAAATGTCCAAATTCTGAGCGGTGCTTGAGGGAGGAGGTACAATGTCTTCTCTTCACCTCCCCCCTCCATGGTGTGGGAGTGTTTTCAAAACCTGAGATAACATTATTGTTTTTCTAGAACAGCTCTGCCTTTCCCTCGGGAAGAACCATGTGGCTTTGGAGCAGGGGGAGAATCGCCATTTCCCCACTAGACGTGTGATCCACTATTGCTCGTCAGAGGTACTCTGCTGGGAAGCCGTGTCATCTAGGCCCATGTCCTCCTGGCTTGCTCTCCGGCACAGCACCCCCAGGTTCTCCTCCACAGCCTCTGCCAGGCGTCCATCTTGAAGCTGCCCCTGCTCTGGGCTGTCAGTGGGTTCACATGGTTCTGAGAAGTGCTTGGAAAACAGAGAGAACAGAGACAGCTCAGCCTATGCTCACTGCCTGGCTCTCCTGAGTCACCCCACCCACCACTCAGACATAGGAACTGAGGCCGGGGTGACTGCATGCTTTTGAGGGTGGGCTCTTAAACTGGGTCGGAGGACAGTACCAACGGGGCAGCCTCTGAGGTTAGGGTGTGCCACCAAGCTGCATGGCTACATGGCCTCTGAATGTGGGGCTTTGCTCAGGAGACATGCTCCAAATCCAAAGGTGGCTCAAGGGCGTGGCCTGTGTATGCCTGCCCAACATCCTCCGAGCCCCTTTCCACCCACCCTGCCCTGGTACTGATGCTGCCAATGCAAGATTCAATTCCTTGAATCTTGGATGCTCAGAGTCCTAAGGACCTGTTGCCCTCACATAAGCCCCTGGAGTCATGAGCACCTTCTCTTTGGCCAGGAAATATGGATCTGCCTGGGCTTTGCCTTAAATCATATTTTTGTTTTGTTTTGTCTTTTCTTTCCTAACATACCATACAAGAGAACATCTGAGTGTTGGTCAATCCCTTTCTTTCTCACGTATGAATCCCAGCTGGTCAGCTAATGTTGGTTAGCATGACTTCTGGGCAAGTAGCATCTTATTTCATTGAATCTTTTGAAATTCTGCTTCTGGGATGGAACCACTTGGAAGTCGTTAGCCGTTTTTAAAACTGGAAGTCCCTGACAGTTTAACTCCAGTGCCTAGTCCTGTCTTTTCTTCTTCCTCAGGCCATAGAGGCCTTGGGAAGGGAAGAATCCTGCTTCCGTAGAATGGGTGATAGGAGGCATGCTCCCATTCTTGGGCTTACAGAAATAATTATGTTGGGGTACATGGAGGCACCCTAATAACATCCATGAGCCTTGTGACCCAAAGGCTGGATATTCTTTTATTTGCTATAGAACAACCTGCCCTGGGAGAAGGCATGAACATTTGGCTGGTGGGTGGGATCTTCTGAACCCTGGGATGCCCTCCTGCCTGTCTCCCATCCTGAGAAAGTCCTTACCCGAGCAGCATGGCCTGCGGCCCTAGCGGAAGGACCCATCACAATGTTGACGCTGCTGGATGACTGGGTGTCACTGGTGTTGCCTCCCTCTGCGGCAGAGAGTCCAGATATGACGAGCGCACTGGAGAAGCTCCTTTTGCCAAAGAGGAAGCTGAGAGTAGAACTGGTTGAAGAGCCCAGGCTAGACCGAATGAGCGCCTCGGCCCGTTCTCGGACACTCAGGTGGCCTGTGGTGGTGACGGGAGGAGGCTGGGAATGCAGAGATGCAGCCGAGGTGTGCAAGGAGAGCCGGCTGCCTGAGGGTCTCTGGGCTAGCTCATGCACAGATGTGGATGTCTGAAGGAAGGCCTGGTGGCTCTCTAGAATGGGACCTGAGGAGCTCAGAGTAGGTGGCCTCTGGCTTATCCCTGAATGCGCCTGGACAGATTGGCTTCTGCCCTTCCTTCTGCCTACAAGAGAGAGCAGAACACGTGGTCAAGCCCTATAAGAAGTAATAAATATGGGGGCAGGGATGGCCCCTTTCTATTACCATCCACAGGTTAATCTGTCAATGAAGATAGCATCCTTTTGAACCAATCCCCCCAAGAACCATATCTTGGTTCAATGGGCTTTCCTCCTGTGTGCCACTTCCCATGACTGAGCTCACCTCCTGTGACTGCCCCACCCTGGCTTTGCATCCGGGGCCACAGCTTCAAGACACGAACTTTCTGAAAACATTTCCTATGCGAACCGTCAGAATGCTTTTAGATGTAGAATTTAATTTCAGGAGGCCGCAGAAGCCAGGTAGGTATATTACCAGACGTTATTCTGTCGTTTAAAATGTATCGTTTAGTGACTGTGTTCGATGAAATATTTTTCCTAATTATATGTATATGTGTATCTGTGTGTATATGTACTTGTGTGCAGTGCCCTTGGAGACCAGAAGTGTCCGTGCCCTGGGGTGGTTGGGGGCTGTCTGATGTGGGAATAGAAATCTGGTCCTTTGTAAAAGCAGAAAGTCCTCTTAACCACCAAGCCATCTCATCAGACTCCAGTGAAATCTTTCTGATTTGTATGAACATTGTCTGTCAAGGAAACTGATACCAAACCAAGAGAGGGGTATGAGCTCTGGGGTTCTGCAATACAGTGGGGTAACGTCTACTGGATGGAAGAGTCTGAGGGTGCCTCACATTGAAATGATGGCTGTGGGAGGGGCTACATGCTAATTACTCTGGTTTGATCATTTTCCACTTCGCCTTTTTTAATTATTATTATTTTGGGTAAGTTTTGTTTGAGTAGTCCTTATTAACACAAATTGTGACTTTTTATTTATTTTATGTATGTAAGTACAAAGTCACTCTCTTCAGACACACCAGAAGAGGGCATTGGATCCCATTACAGATGGTTGTGAGCCACCATGTGGTTGCTGGGAATTGAACTCAGGACCTCTGGAAGAGCAGTCAGTGCTCTTAACTGCTGAGCCATCTCTTCAGCCTCTGATCATGTCCCAAGGTGGATATACATCATAGTGTCATTCTGCACCCCATAAACTAGGCTGATCAAGAGATAAAACCTTTTTTTAAAAAAATTGTAATTCAGTTTCCTTTCTTTTTTTATTGGATATTTTATTTATTTACAATACAGATGTCTCCCTTTCCCCATTTCTCCTTCCTAGAACCTCCCCATACCATCCCCCCTCTTCCTTTTTGCTTTCATACCATTTTAATTACATGCAAGTATTAAGGTCAGTTCTAGGTTGAGGAACTAGCAATACAATAGATGCAAGTAGTTAAGAAACAAACAATACAATAAACACAAATAGTCAAAGAAAAAGCAAGGCATTAAGCCCAATTATGTAAACACTCCCATGATCATTGTTTCAAAGGCTTTATCAGGGTGACCAAAATATCTGAGCCTACTTCCCTGTCCTAGTCCAAAGTCATCTTCATGTCTGAAGCCTACTTCTTTGTTCTAGCTTAAGATTTAGATTCCTGCTTGAAATTATTTCTTTGTTCTAGCCTAATGTAAGATTCCTGCCAAGCAGCCCCCAAAGCTCTCTGCCTCTCTTCCTTTTTTTATTTCATAAACAAGACTGAGCCCATCTTAGGTTGTTCTGACAAGAATGCTTTTCTTACTCATCATGGAATATGCATTATCAAAACCAATGCATTTCTGTCTTAGGTTGGTAAGACTTTGTGCAGAATCTTACCCATCCTTGGCTTGCCAGTCTATTAAACTAATAACTCTGTCTGGGGGAAAATAAAACCTTTGTAAATCTTAAAAACAGAGCATTTTGCCTCAGGTGGCCAGGTATACCCATATCTGTGTGGTGTTGTGGACATCTGCACAGCCTGTGCCCAAGAAAGCCAGGTCTGCCCAGAGAGACCCAGCAGGGGTGGGAGGTGAGCATTCAGCCTTTGGTCACAGTGATGGATGGTGTGCTCCTTTCCAAAGGGCATTTATTGGCAACCTGCCTGGGCTTCCTTTCAGCTGTGAAAATGGGAGTCTCAACTTGAGGTGATATATGAAGTCCCCAGAACTGGTGCTGGCTTCTCTGGGCTGAGTGACCTGGGACCTGCCTATCTGTCTTGAGCACAGGGAACGGCCTTGGTCCTGAATGTCCCTGCCGAGAAGCCAGTCCGATATGGCTTCTTCTAAAGGGGTGAATACTGTGAGCAAGGAGTCTGGAAAGGCCAAGCATCTATGATTTCTAAAGCTGATCTCTGTCTAAAACCCTCCACAGTCAGTGTTCTTCACTGGCACTGGGCAGGGCCTTCTGCTGATCCAAAGAACGAAGGGAAAGATGCCTACAGAGTATCACAAGGGCTACACATAGTCCATGCAAGACAAAGGGCCCTCACCAGTCCTGAAGCGTCAGCTACTCTGTGTGTGTGGTATACATGCATGCACACTCACACATGTGCCTCTGCGTGTGGAGGCCAGAGCTGATGCTAAGTGTCATCCTCTATTGCTCTCTGTGCCAGGGTGACCGGCCATCAAGCCCCAGGGATCCTCCTCTCCACCTACCTCACAGTGCTTAGGACAGCTCCTGGCTTTTACACAGGTGCTGAGAATCTGAACTTGGACCCAGGCTCAGGCAGCATGCATCGTACAGACTGAGCCATCTCCCCAGTGAAGCCTCACATGCTCTTCCAGCTTTCTGTTGCTCTTTTTCTCCCCCCAGTTTTAATTTTACAAATAAACAACACTGAGCATCAAGAAATCACCGCGTTTCCCAGACTCATTATTTTACAATTAACTTATTTTTTTTTCCAACGGCCTCGTTATCACATCGTGAGCATTGCTAGGGAAAAACCTTCAGACTTAAATGGAAACGCAATGTAAATTACGCTCCTTGGTTCATTACGATTGCTTTGCCTCAAATGATCAAAGGATCATTAGCTGGAAGGTTGTGGCGAGAGTCCTTAGTGATATAAAATAGCAGCCCTTCTCTCTGGTGTGGGACTCTGACTAGAGATGGGTTTCTATCCACTCATTGTTAAGTGGGTCACCAGGCAAGGCCATCTCTCCTGTGATGTTTACTGTTTAGCGAGATGAGGTGACTCTGGCCCGTAAGAAACTGTCTGAGGCTGACACGTGGAGCTCCTGGCAGTGGGCACTAGCGAGAAGTGCCCAGTACTTCAGTGTGGTTGGCCTGGGCTGGCCTGTTTAGTAGGATTCTGGCCAGGTATAAGCGCTCATGGGCTTCTGACAAAGAATCAGAACTAGAACAAAATATAGGAACCAAGGCAAGGAGCAAAGACAGAGCGGAGCAGCCATGGGAGGGGAGGCCACCATGGGGAGTAGCAGGTAAGAGGTGAGCCCTGTCAGGCAGTGGAGTGGTATAACATCCTACTAGAACTCTACACTCACTACAGCAGACTTCTCCCTACCTTGCTTTTTCCAGAGGCATGTTCCTCACCCTGGCGTGGCCGCATGCCTCTCTATCACATGATAGCTACCACCTACGGTTTGAAGGAGAACTGGCTCCCCCAGTGTTGGGAGCCAACACTTAGCTGAAAGCGGCTATCATCTTTGCAGCCATCTCAAGTCATATACCCTGACAAGAGACTTGTTTTCAACATCCCGAAACAGCTGAGCACACTCTGATAAACATCTTGCTATACTGTTTAGTGCCCCCAGCTACAAGGTGCATGTGGTATCCATGGCTACAAGGCACGTGACGTAGTGCCTTCAGCTGAGCTTGTCCACAAGGCCAAGGCACGTGGTAAAGGGTATAAATACCCAGGATTTCCTTTCAATAAAAGAGACTCGACGAGACTCTGTCTTGTATCCATTTTTTGCATCTCTCACCCCCCTCTCTCTCTCTCTCTCTCTTGCTAGACCCTGACCTGTGAACCGGAGCCGCACAATGGGCCGTTACAAAGTAGCAGAATGGCTGTTACACCCCAGGCTCATGGGTGGTATCCACTTGGTAGTGCTGTTTTAGGAGGCTGGAACCTTGGGGTGGTGGTACCTCCCTGGAAGAAGTGGCTCACGGGGAGCTGGGCAGACCTTGAAGTTTACTGCCTATTTGCTTCCCTCTGAGCACAGTCTGCTACTCTGATGACCAAATGCAGAATCCCATCTGCAGACTGAGCCTGTATGTTTCACACTATGATGGACTCTCTCCCCTGAGTCAGTAGATTGGGTTTCTCTGTGGAGAGCATGGACTTGTGTGTTTCTAGACCCGATGGAAGAGAATCATAGCCAGTAGCTCTTTCTTTGAACGGGGAAGGAGCATGTCTCCTCTCTTCCTTCCTTGTTCTCCCAGTCTGCGGGACACAGGCTCAGCTGCAGTGCCCGCTTCCCTCATCTTGCTAGGACAGGGAGGGATCTTGGCTATCTACCATGTTTCTGTCTCCATTCCTGCCCACAGTGGGGAAGGAGTTGCTTCAAGAGGAAAGAATTGTCAGTTATACCCACCAGAAGGAAAGTCACTGTTAAGTGGGCCCCTTGTCAGCCAAGGGATGGGACAAAGCTGTGGCAGGCAGGGATGTAGCCAGAGGTACAAATAGGAGGCTGGGAGAGTGCAGGTGTCCTGGGCCTCAAGTCTGTCAGGGGTAGGACAGGATAGCAGCTGAAGGGAGGAGACATTGGATAGGAGATGAGGCTCAGGGACTGTCCTTCCTCCTCTGCATCCCAGCTTGGCTGCTTATTAGCTGGGTACCTTGGGACAATGACTTGCCTTCTCTGTGTTCCTGCATCTCCATCTGGGAAGGGAAGACAGAGCACCCCTAAGGGCCTAGAGTCAGGGAGAGTATAAAGGACCCTGGGTAAGAACAGCCCTCATGTGGTGTCCGAAGACTGGCACTGTGCAAACAGCCTCTGCAGCAAGGTGCAGAGGTCACATGGGACACAGAGCAAGGAGGTACCACAAGCTAGTTAGGGGCTGGGACAGCATCATCCCAGGACTGATTAGATCCAAGGGCTGGGAGCCCAGGCTCTGGGATATTTTGTCAGTGTGCTTCCTTTACCTAGAAGTTCAGAGCTGGGCTGGACCCAGCAGAATAGTTTTAAGAAGCAATAATCAAAACACCTCCTGCTTTAGTTTTTCAGATATCCTGCACCAACATAGGCCTTCTGCATCTGGTGGTAAGTGGGAGGGACCTGACTGCCATAGCCTGGGTCTTGAACCGGCTTCAGAAGCTAAGAGTACTACTCGGCCCTGAAAAGGCAAAGGCACTCCTTCAACAAGAAGGGTCTGCTAGGGCCTCTGACCCATCTGACCCTCTCCAGCCTCGCTCTGGCCAGACGTGTCAGCAGCAAGAAGAAGAAAGTGCAGGTACTCACAGGCTCTCTTAGAAAATCACCTGTGTGTCCTTGAAATACATTTGTCCCATCAAATCAAAGGCTATGAAGGCGATGTGGACCTTGGGGTGTCTGGGGACCATGGTTGCTGTGCTGGGCTCAGGGAGGCAGCAGCTGGTGGGTGGTGGAACTGTGCTGGTTTCTTAGCAGCTGACGACAGAAGCTTTGGCTTCTCCTCTCTACCCCCTGCTCACCTGCTTTATCTGCTGTGCCGTCAATCACCCACC